ACCCATGAAAGATAAGAAAGAAATGAGTGACATTCTAGATAGACACTGTTTAAAAAACAACATTAAAAATACTTTTTTCACTTTAGAATTTTAATTTTTCTTATCCTCAAATGAGAAAGATGAATTTTGTGTATCCAGTAAGTTTCAACTTGGTCCATATTTATGAAGATATTTCTTTTAGACTTTTTTTGGCTGATTACAGTATTCACTGTTTTCAGCTGTAGATCATAAAAAACATGTCAAAAATTGACAAAGATTTATCAGTGATCCTGCACACCTTTCAAAATGGAATCACAATTATTTTTGTTAGGCTAAATAACAATACTCTTGATTGTAGTCATTTACGTGTAATAATATAGCTTCTTTTCAATAAATTAGAAGTTAATATATTTATGTGCCCTGTTTTAATATTATAAACTAAACCATGTACAAGAAACAATGTAAATATTATGTTTTTGGAAAATGGGGTGTAAATGAATTACTAGCTAATTACCAGGAAATAAGTTCCAAACAATGATAAAATATCTATACTTTTTTCTAAGCTGAAATGTAAATGAAAATATAGTTCCTTTTACTAAACAGTATGGTTTACATTCCCATTGTCATGTTCTTTTTTATTTACTTAAAATTATTTGCAAGATAAAGAGTCAAACTGTAAATTTAATTCTAGGTTATTGATTAACGTGTATAGTTTTTTAATTCGTTAATTGTAATTTCGAACAACAGAAGAAAGTGTTAATGTTATAACTTTTTTTTTCTTACTGAACAGAATAAAATTGTTAACAAAGACCAAGCAGGAATATCCACCTTCTTTTGAAAATGTCTTATATGCTTCAGCACCTGCACAATGGTTGGCAAGTTGATCAAGCCATTCTTTCAGAAGAAGATCGTGTTGTGGTAATCAGGTTTGGCCATGACTGGGATCCCACATGCATGAAAATGGATGAGGTGCTTTATAGCATTGCAGAAAAGGTGAAAAACTTTGCAGTTGTGTATTTGGTGGACATTACAGAAGTACCAGACTTTAATAAAATGTATGAATTGTACGACCCATGCACAGTTATGTTCTTTTTTAGGAACAAACATATTATGATTGACTTAGGAACAGGTAACAATAATAAAATTAACTGGGCCATGGAAGATAAACAAGAAATGATTGACATTGTAGAAACTGTATATAGAGGTGCACGAAAAGGAAGAGGTCTTGTTGTATCACCAAAAGACTACTCTACTAAATATCGCTATTAATTTAAAGTATGTATCTTTTGTTTTTTGTTAAAATATATTGTCCATTTACCAACTGCCTGTGACATATTTTGGTTATTATTCAGGAAGGGTCTTTTTTAAATTACTGTGTAATTATCTATTGAAAAGTGTTTATAAAACTGTAACTTTTCAATAATTTTGAAAACAATATTGATTTAGAATATGTTCTTAGCTAAGAGAAAACTTGTTTCTTTAAGAATAACGATCTCCGAGTCTGTTAGATGACATCTATGTAGAAACTGAATACACATTCCACTTCCTCAAAACAGTTCTAACTGCAAGTTTGTGTACTGGTGTATTGTCTAAATCTTTGTCTATCAAGTCTTAGTAGATATGTGGTAATAACATTTGTATGGAAGTAAAAAAATAAACCAGCAAGTTTCCTTTTTTGAACTTGGATTTTTTATACATTAATTACAATAGATCATGCTTCACCAGTATAGTAATTGAGAATCATAATAATTCTAACCACATTTAGATTGAACAATAACTTCTTTTGTTGCTAACTGTATGCTGGATGATCTGGGAATGTGTCCCCATTCTCTTGAACTTGTGCCAAGTAAGCCAGATTTCAACATGGCATGGGAGGGATTTAACAATTTTTAATTTAAGAGAATTGGGACAAAGTTGAGAAACAAAAGTAAATAACTTCAAAAGGGAACTATTATTAAACACTGAAGGCAAATAAGTAAATACAGAATAACTTTGCAGTAGGATGAACATACCCATTACTAGATTGTGAATAGTTTTATATCCCTGACTGGTGAACTTTGTTATACAAATTCAGTGACAATTTTGTACATCTTTCAAATTATAACCAACAAGGGGTAAAATATACATCTTAAAATATGGGCTAACTTTGGTTTTACAGGTTATTATATGTTGATTTGAGAAATTCGAGAAGAAATAGCATTTTTTGTGGTGAACAATACAAAAAAAGAAGTTTAATAGTTTCTCCCTATTTTGATTGGTAGCAGTTGTCAGATAAAAATCAGCACTAATCACCATTGTATGAGTCAATGAAGTAGACCACACATAGAAAAATATGGGCCTTCATAACAGTAAGAATACTTGATTATAATGAGCCAAAAATAAGGAGTTGAAAAAAAAGTGAGCAGATAAGTAATATTAAAGTGTGTTGGTCCCTGATACATACATATACCAAAATAGAAGACATAAAAACTTTGACTTGTGTCTAAAGAAAAACATTCATGTTTTGTCAAAGGGAAAGAAATTTATTTCCTTACTTATATGTTCAACAGGAGAAAACAAGACACGAAGGTGACAAGTATCAGACATACTGAAACTGACCTTTTGTTAAAAAGAATAAACATCAGTCAGTCTTATTTGCACAGAAATAAAATTAAGTATGAATATGACGTATATATATAAATGAAACATTTCCTGTAGACACATAACAACTAACTAGGAGGGAAAAAATCAGTGATTTTTTTTATATGAAATATGTTTAATAATCACAAATGAATTAGTATAATTCTATTCCAAAGATAAAATACATGGGGTCATACTACACACATGGTAGATACAAATCACTTCAGTTTAGGGTTGAAGCATGCTCATTTTCCATGTATGAGTGTTTGGTTGTTTAATAAATCATCTTATCAAATAAAATTATATTTATGTAAGAGTAAGAATCTCTTACTTCAATTGTTTACACACCTATCTTATGGCATTTAATTAGTAAAAGTAATACATCTTTTAAACCACTATTATTTATTATTACAGAAAAAAGATATTTTGCTACATATTTCGTCTCCATGCTTTCAGATCATCATCAGGTATTAGTACACATAGTGTCACTGTTTAAACATTCTTCATAAAATAGCATACCTAGTGTCATTGTTTAATTAAACAGATTTCATAAAGTAGTACACCTGGTGTTACTGTTTAAACAGTCTTCATAAAATAGTATACCTAGTGTCATTGTTTAATTAAACAGATTTCATAAAGTAGTACACCTAGTGTCACTGTTTAAACATTCTTCATAAAATGGTATACCTAGTGTCACTGATTAAACAGATTTCATAAAGTAGTACACCTAGTGTCACTGTTTAAACATTCTTCATAAAATGGTATACCTAGTGTCACTGATTAAACAGATTTCATAAAGTAGTACACCTAGTGTCACTGTTTAAACATTCTTCATAAAATGGTATA